GTTTTTCAATTAACTACTTTGAAGATAATAAAAGAAAACTACAACTTTCTATTTTTGATATTATTCAATCTTTGAAAACAATGAAAGAAGAAGAGAAGGGAACCCTTGATGAAACAACCACAGGCAATCAACATAAAAAAGCAATTAAAATACTAAAAATCAGTTTAAAAACTGTATTTCAATATATATTCACGATGTATATGGTTAAAATGCCAGAGTTTAATGAATTAACAACAGTGTCAATCCTTTAAAGTGTCACGGAATCATTGAAAAATCATCATTTGTTAAAATCTTTCAATCTTTCGTTGTTGAACCATTTCCATTGAGAAGGGAAAAGAGAAAGACCATTTTAACACCAAAACAATTGGAGTTGAAAAAGAGCAGAAAAGAAATGAAACAAAGGAAAAAACAAAGGAAAAATTCTTTAACAAAACAAGTTTCAGACAAACCATAACAAGTGCTGCGTTTTAGACTTCCACATTTTTTTAAGTGAACAAATTGAGGTGTTTTTGTTTATTTTTGAAATAGAAATTTATAATTATTCAATTTATAATCATTTAAAATAAAAAACGATAATTTATATTATTATTTTAATTTTATGTTTTTATTGACCTTTAAATAGATTTTTTAAAAATTATAGTTTCAAAATTATATTTATCAAAATTAACTACCTTTGTCCCTTTTTAACACGTTGGAGCTTCCTTTTTTCGGTTTTATATGAAAAAAAATAAAAAAGTTGATGTTTTTTTTGCTGAGTGTAAAAAATTAAAAAAGAGGAAAAACCTGTTTGAGCTCCTTTGTGGATTTTTATCCTTGTGATTTTAGTAAAATTAATATTCAAACGATAACAAAAATCACTAAGATATTCGAATTATTGTTATTTTGTACCATTTCCAAGTGTTTTATAATTTGTGGTAATTTGCTAAAATGAAGAACGTTTGTAATAAGCGTTTTTGTCGCCATTTGAAGTGACATTTCATCAACTTGATTCACACAAATTCATAGAGTGTTTATATTATAAATATACATGCTTTCAATTGTAGATATTAGTACGTCTGTTTTTTCTAACAAGATTAACTTCGACAACCATCCCTAAAATTAAGTATCTTTATCATAATATTCAACGTTAAACATATTACTCAATTTGATATCGATATAAAAAATTTTAAAAACGAACTGTTTTTGTTTAAACCTTTAGTTTTTATAATCAAAGGCGTCTTTTCCATCAAGGACTCGATCAGATATTATCGTTTTGAATTTTGGAGATTATTCAGTGAAATTGTTATTTAAAAAATTTTGTTTTGGTAGTTCGGCAAAATAGTATGTTGTGTTTCAATGAAAAAAAAATTCTGGGAAAAAAACACAAAATAAACTCCAACGTGTTAATAAAAAAATAATTAAATAAATTTTTTCTTTTTTTTCAGGTTTTCAAGAACTTTTCAATTGGAATTCTATTTTTGTGGTTTTGTTTCGAATCATTTTGAATGATTTCATATAATTCTAATAAAATTGTCATTGGTCTTCAAAACCTTTAACGATTGGGTGACAAAATAATTTGGATTAAATATTTTGGAGTGAATATTACAATGTTTTTTAATAATTCAGTAAAACCTCCCAAGGGATAAAGGGTGTGGTATTTTTTTCTCTCAATAGCGGGCATTTTAAGAAAATCAAACCTTAATTACCGCTCGATAGAGAACTTTATTTTTAGTTTTAGTTTAAAAAATGCCGGCTCTTGAGAGGTTTTATTCATAGTTAGACATTTATTCAATATTTTTTAGGTATAATTCCCAAAATTGCAGAAATTTTGATATTTTATTAACAAGTTTTATTTTTTGTGTATTTTTATTTCCATTAACTTTTTACATAAAAGACTTAATTGCCCTTTATCATTGTGAAATATAATTAATAAAAAATTAATAAACAAATTTATATTTTGATATCATATATAAATTATAATAATAGTATAAAAATAATAAAATAAATATTGGTATGGTTTCAATTAAATCAGTGTCGAACAGGTTTACCTTGGGTTAGTGTAAACCGAGTAATATGGAGCATTATAAAGAAGGCTCAAAAAGACACACTCAAAGAATTTGTTTGTGCACCCGTTTTATCCACGTTTTATCTTCCCCAGTCGCGGATCACCCGCTTGCGGGAAAATGACATCTGCGTCTACCCAGTACGGACAAAAAATTGGTTTCCACGGGCGTACAAACAGTAGCTGAGAAGAGGTATAACACATAATTTTGATTTGAATTTAGGTCAAATCAGTCGGTTTCAACACAAAATCATAAAGATATTATTATTTATATAATAATTATAATATTAATTAAAAACAAAAAAAATGTAAAAAAAGATATATAGATCACGATGATGACAAAAATTTGTCGAGCGACGAAAGAGTGCTTGTCGATATTGATGGATTCGTATTTTTTTCATATTACAACAACATGAAATAAGAACTAAAATTCAAAAATGTTGTTTAACCACTGTCGGAACCTATCGAATTGTCTTGAATTGTCGATAAACATTAAAAACATGAGAAAGAATTACAGTCGTGTACTATAAAGAGAAAAATGATGGTTTGTGTTTTATCGGAATAAAAATATTGACGACGGGAAAAGTGCTAACAATTTGGGTTAATTCCAAAAATTGCAATCAATTAATCTTTTCGTTATAATTTTTGTTCAAATCTTGAGGATTGTGTCTCTGTTGTTATAATATTTTTAAAAAAGATATTGTGTGGCAAAAAATCTTCAGAAAAAAAATGAAACGGGTTTACAATGATTTTTTTTAAAGAAAAATCAAAATTGACATTTTTTTATGCTCTTTAAAAAAAATAAAAGGGGAAACAGCGAACGTGTTAAGTATTTACACAAAAAAACGATCCAAATCAATTTTGTAAGTAAAAAATATTTAACCTAGT